GAAATAGCGTTTAATTTATATTTATTTACGTCCGAATTAAGCGTCCTATATATCTTTATTAAGTCAGGCAGGCAGCCGGCTTTGTGTGTAAATCGGCTCCCGTTTCGGTGCGATTTTCTAAGACGACGACGACGACGATCCGATCGACAGAGGATAAAAAAAGGAACCAACACAAAAAAACCGTTCAGATTATCCCTTCAAGTCAAACGACCGTAAATCAAGACTTCTTTAAAAAGATTTCATTTTCAACTTATGTTAGATTACACTTTGACTTGTATCGTTTCGCAAAAATAATAACAAAAAAAATAGGAGATATTCTTGAGTATTCAAAAAATTGATTGGAATGAATACTATCAATCATGTAGATGATTAGGTGAAAAAGAAGGTTTTGGGACCTTTTTCTTGATCGTCCAATTCTCTCGTCCTCTTTCGCAAATAATATCGAACGTGTGCCCGGACCTCGACAATGCGCTCATTATTCCGATGCCGCTTCCATTATGTTCACGTCCGAACGGCCATTTGTCATTATTACAATGTGCCGGAGTGTGCTTTATCGTCAGCCAGGGGGAACTCGAGTTCCGTTTGGAGAAATTGCTCCCGCGTGATAAAAAATGGGATCTTTTGCACTTCACTTCCACACAACCCAAACTGCCACAATTCTTTGCTAAAGCAGATATTTATAATGATACAAAAACGAATGACCAGGAAGAATCCATAGAAATAATTTACATAGTATAGTAAAAGCTTAATATAACGGACCTCGTTAGAACGAATTTCGGATATAAGCGAAACTTTATAGTTATCCAGCTCTGACGTCACGAACGATCCTTCGAGCTGTGCACCTCTTCCCCCGGGATGTAGCAGTCCTTGGTATAAAATAGACTGAACGCAACGATGTGGATATATATAACAACTCAGTTCATTTTGACAAGGCAAAGCAATGTAACAGACCATTTGGGTTGTAACACTTTAGTGGAATTAAGAAGTCTAGGATTGATATGTAACTTATAAACTTATCCCTAAAACAAGATGATTCTGAATAATGTTAAAAAAATTTCTATTAATTTGGCTTGCCACCTTCAACATACAAACAGCAGTCGAGAAAAAAACCTTTCAACCTGTAATTTGATATTCGGCCGTCTTAGATGAGGAATCCGAATACAAGAGCCGTCTAACGCTGGGATCGTTTTTAATTAACTCTTCCTTCTACCCTTCCTCCCAAAACATTTTATTTTTTTTACGTTGGCAAGAAGTTGCCTCTAACGTATTACAACAACCACAAACTATAAAACCACCAACAACCCGAACTCATCGAAAAGATCACGACGATTCTACGTATACAGTCTCGTGTCGTCTTCTTCGTCTTTTGGTTTGCTGCATTCCGATCGAGCTCCTCTTCGAGATTGCGGGAGGACGGAGAGACGGGGACGGTTCGAAACCCGTGCGACCTTTGACCTCCTCCTCGCACGACAACGGATATCGTTCCGTTTATATACCGACGGAACCGAAAAGGATGAGCTATGAGCTTTTTTTTTGTTTGTTTTGAACCAAACGCGCACGCACTACAGATGAAAAAGTAACGAGATTTTTTTAAATCTTTTCTTGATTCTCACGGGAACCATTTTTGATTAGAATTCAAATGTTTATTGAACCAATTTCTTTGTTATACAGTGAATTTCACTTAAATTGCAATATACAGGGTGTCCCGTTAAGCGTACGGAGCGGCTGTATCTCAATAACGGTAAGGCCTAGAGGTTTGGGAAAAAAATCGTTATAAGCAAAGTGGGCAAGAGAAATAGCTGGAAATTATTTTGAAGTTCGTAATTCGACCGCTAGGGGGCGTAACTGCCATAGAGAAACATAAAATTCCCGCTATCTCAGAAAGTTAGACGATGAGCTATAACTTTGACAACATCATTTAGTAGCTTGGATAATACCGCATCGCTTTTGTTTTGCAATATTTTTCATATCTGTCATAATAAGGGAGGGGGAGGCCAATGCGTTTTCAAATGTTTACATTTTAATATCTCCTGGACCATTCAACCGATTTGAATATTTTTGGTCTTGTTTGAAAGAGCATTTCATGCTCTTTTAAAAGATATTTTCAGTAAGACCGCTTGGTTTAAAACAAATAAGCTAGAGGGCGTTATCTGCAGCGGTTACATATTTTTGTGATTTTTGAAAAAAAGTTAAATGGAACGGTACTATTTACTTCACAGACCGTTAATCACCATAAAATTTGCTAAATATTAGTGAAAACCGCATCTCGATATCTCCATCCATTCTCGAATTATAAAAGAAAATGTTAAAAATTCGTATATCTTAATCGGATCAAGTTACCTTAGGAAACAAATAAGAGAGAACAAAAATTTTATTATCTAGAACCTTCCTTCACACTTTATCCAAGCTTAGAACTGCTTCAAAACTACTTTTGAGGCGTGTTGAAAAGCCAACGGATCAATGAAACATCAACAATGATAATAAAACAAAATAAACCAAAACACTTAGAATAACTTAAATTTTTGGCAAAAATAACTCACTAATGTGCGAAATGCCTTCCATAAACCTCGATGCATTTATTTAATCTAGTTTCGACGAAAAAAAAGCGCTGCTTAAGTCTCGGCCCTGGACACGTTTTTACTGGTATTTAGTGTTTTGTCATATTTTCCCTGGTTATTGGTTTTTCTTGAAAAGTCAGGTCGTTTAGTCTACCCAATAGATAAAGGGGTGAAAGCAATGTGGGTTTTGCTCGAACCAAGAATGCATATTATGCAAGTTTACATCAGCTTGTGGACAGATGCTTCATGCATCCATAGCATTTGTGATAAAAGGTTTGGATTTGCCCAAATCATATTTAAAAGTCAATGGTAATAGTTCAGTCTGTTATCATAATCGGTATCTGTTAAGGCCTGATGTAAAACAACGTGGTGGAGATATTATTCTCTTGAGAACTCTTGTGGACAATTGTTTTCGGAGTTCCCAGATTATGTGGGATCACATTGCGCACCAATGTGATTTACGAATTCATAGAGATGTCTGAATGGGCTACACGTTGCCAGTTTTCCGTAATCGCTAAGTCAATCTTAAAAACACTTCTAGAGAAAAATGTCTTTCTTTGTCGTAATTGCATTGCACATTTTTGCCATGCAGTTGCATCGTATTCGAAACATTGAAAATAAATCATCATACGCTCTATCATACGCTTCTGCGTTAGTAAATGACATGTTTACAGTTACCATGGTTATGTGATTTGTTTTTCTCGATGAGGTAACTGGATCCGATTGATGGCACTCGAGTTTTTAACATTTTCTTCTATAACTCGAGAACGGGTGGCGATATCGAGATGCGGTTTTCACTAAAATTTAGCAAATTTTAAGGTGACTAAGGGTCTGTGAAGTAAATAGTATCGTTCCATTTAACTTTTCTTCAAAAATCACAAAAATATCTAATCGCTGCAGATAACGTCCTCTAGCTCATTTGTTTTAAAGCAGACGGTCTTATTGAAAATATCTTTAAAAAGAGCATAAAATGCTCTTTCAAACAACACCGAAAACATTCAAATCGGTTGAATGGTCTAGGAGATATTAAAATATAAACATATGAAAACGCATTGGCCTCCCCCTCCCTTATTATGACAGATATGAGAAATATCACAAAACAAAAGCGATGCGGTATTATCCAAGCTATTAAATGATGTTGTCAAAGTTATAGCTCATCGTCTAAGTTTCTGAGATAGCGGCAACTTTATGTTTCTCAATGGTAGTTACGCCCCCTAGCGGTCGAATTACGAACTTCAAAATAATTTCCAGCTATTTCTCTTGGTCACTTTGCTTATAAGGATTTTTTTCCCAAACCTCTTGGCCTTACCGTTCTAGAGATACAGCCGCTCCGTACGCTTAACGGGACACCCTGTACAAAAATATATTTCCATAGAAACCAGGACGTACCTACTTACTTTGTCCCACACAAAATGCAACATGTCTGAATGTTTCTTCTTCTAGGTCTAATGTTAGTTCTAATCACAGTGGTAGGTAGTGCTAGCTTATTGAACTAAAACTAGAACTAACACTAGACATAGATCTAGAAACATTCGGGTTTATTCGGGTTAAATTACCGGTATATGTTTATATCGATTTTGAATTTCATTCTTTTTGGTCATATATCAAAGTGTTGTTATAAGAAAGAAACGGAGGGTTTTGTGGCGGGGACAATCGGGCGAAGCAAACTGTGCCGGCTTTGTTGCAGTTCTCCTTCCAGAATAACCATGACACCTTTATGCAATTGTCAGTGTGTGGAACGTAAATAAATAGGCTTCTATGTGAAGACGGCGAGGGGTTCTTTTAACAGTAAACGAGAATCAAATTTTAGAATTGGAATTTAATAAATGTGACGAATTTCTGTTATAAATTAGACGTTAAAGAAAAATTAAATTGACACACAAAAGAAAAATCGATAAAAAAATAATTTATAGTTAGGGATTTTATGATTTGGGATTTATGGAAATTTGTGTCGTTTCTTTCCCACAAGGATAATCATTACCGAGAAATTTTAGGCCCCACCTTCGGACCTAAAACACGCCACACACTAAAAATGATCGTTCTCCAAGACTCTTTTGACAAGAAGACGTAGTCGACGTTTTGAAAACGGCAGAACGAACGCGTTGACCGTGTTGTCGTTCTACCGCCGCCGCTAAAAGAGAAGAAACTGACGGCCATCAGCCGCGGCGGCACTCAGAAAAAAAGTCGTTTATCACATTTCATCCGACCGAACTCCTCCTTACAAAAGGGCCACAATAAAACGACGATTTACTACAGTTTTTCAACTTTTTCTTCTGCCTTCTTTGTTTTGTGCCCTTTTTACCTGTCCCGTGTGATCCTTCTTTCCCTGTTATCGATGAGGATAACAAGAAATCCGCGTTTAAAATCAAGTTTATCACACCGTTTTACATGTGTACAATTAAATATCAGACATTTTTTGATTGATTTTTTTTTAATTTCTAGGAGAGAAACCATTTAAATGCGAATACGAGGGTTGTGATCGTCGTTTTGCCAATTCGTCTGACAGGAAGAAGCACTCGCACGTCCACACCTCGGACAAACCTTACAACTGCCGCGTTGCCGGCTGCGATAAGTCGTACACGCACCCATCCTCCCTCAGGAAACACATGAAAGTACACGGCTGTTCGGGTCGTTCGCCGACGCATTATGATAGCGATGAAGAAGATTCCAGTTCTTCGGCGGGTAGTATTACGGTTGCCGCAAGTCCTCAAGTAGCGACGACGCATCCTCAAGTCTCTTCAGCAGCGTCTTCAACATCATCCTCTGGACCTTTAACCGATTGGTACGTTGCGTGTCAACCTATGCCACCAGCGCCAACAGCTCCCGATCCTTTGGGACACCACCACAGTTTGGGTCATCATCCGTTTGGTCATCACGTGCATCATACGGGGGCTGCGACTGCTTACTGACAGTGACCGAAATTATTGTGTCTATGTAAATAATAAAGAAAAATTAATTCCGCGTGTAAAAAGATGATTCGAGTTTTGTAAAATAATTATATGTAAAGATTTTTTGTAGTTTTCTGTTTTTAAGGAAAAAACGAAGCGATTAAGGTGAAGAAGACGAAGAAAAGGTGATCAAGTGTAAATATAGTGTATTTTAATCAGGGATCTCTGTACATTCGATTATATGATGATTAAATGATTATTCTATTCAGAAAGTTTATATGATGATGATGACGCTAAATGATGATAAATAATAAAGTTTTATTGAGATGAATTAAATAAATAAATACGAAAGTCGACTGATGCTATAAATTTGTTTTTTATTTTCATTCCAAAATTATTACAAAAAATTAAACTCTAAAATATAAATAAGTCTCATGGTTCTAAAATTAATAATTATATTTAATCTTTTTTGACATTGCATATTCGTTTAACTCATTATGTCACCATAGATTTTAATTGTCAGAATTAAAAAGGAAATCAAGATTACGTTTGTCACACTTCAAGAAGATATTTAAAATTACAATATTAAGATTTTAGAATATTAGGCAGTATCCAGATAGCCAAAAGTTGCTTAAAATTACACTGCACACGATACAGAATCCAAGAAGAATAACACTGCTCAAATTTCAGACTACAAATACAGTAGAGCCCCGATTATCCGCGAGTGCCGTGAAATATTCTTTTCTTTTAAATTTAATTTGATTTTCGTTATATATCGAAATGTGCTCGTGTCTACAGTCGTGTTTCTTTGTCGGTGGTTATTAGCAGATTATTAGTTTGTTCCTGAAATAAATAATGGCTGAAAAACCAAAGAAGGTTGTGTTAACGATTCCACAAAAAAATAGAAATGATTTCTAAAATAGAAAATGGCGCATCAAGAAAGCAGATGTGTTTACAATATGGGATTGGGGAAACAACAGTGCGAGATGTTTTAAAGCAAAAAGAAAAGTTATTGGCTTTTGCAACAGTTTCAAACAGTGTTTTTGGAATGAAAAAACGAAAAACAATGAAGAAATCCACGTAGACGCGGCATTAGCGGAGAGGCTAGCTCAAGAGCGAAGTGAAGGCACTCCTGTATCCGGTCCTAACATTGCAGCTAAAGCAAAAGTCTTCTTTGATTTGTTAGAACTGGAAGGAAATTTTGATGCATCGTCCGGTTGGTTACATCGTTTTAAGAAACGTTATGGAATTAGGGAGATAGGTCTTCATGGGGAAAAGCTGAGCGGTGATCAACAAGCAGCTGACGAGTTTCAACGTGATTTTGAAAAGTTTGTAATGTCAGAAGATTTGTCACCAGAACAAATTTATAATGCTGATGAATCAGGGCTTTTTTGGAAGTGTCTTCCCACTCACACTTTAGCATTTGAAAGTGAACATAAAGCGGCAGGACACAAAAGTAGCAAGGAAAGAATCACAATCTTGCCATGCAGCAATGCTGCAGGTACCCACAAACTGAAACTTCTTGTAATCGGTAAATCTAAGAAACCAAGGTCTTTTAAGGGGACAAGAGCAGACAATTTACCAGTCGATTATTTCAATCAAAAAAAAAGGTTGGATGAACCAGCAGATTTTTCAAGAATGGTTCCTTGATGGAACCTTGATTCAAAGAATTTACCAAGAAAGGCCGTTTTATTAATTGACAACGCGCCTTCACACCCTGCCGCAAGTGTTCTTAAATCTTCTGATGAACAAATTTTTGCAAAGTTTTTGCCCCCAAATGTTTCTGCGCTCATACAGCCTATGGACCAGGGGGTCATTGCAACTGTGAAGAGGATATACAGAACAAAGTTGGTAAAAACAAAAATTGAAGAAGGTTACGATTTTAAGCAGCTTTGGAAGATGTATACAATTTTGGATAGCATTTACGATATTGCGTTTGCATGGGATTGTATTAAACCGTCAACCCTCGTCAAATCGTGGAGAAAACTCTTTCCAAATATTGAAGTAAATGTCAACCAAAACATTGGTGAAGAACATAATGAAGATATGCCTATCGCTGCACTTATTGACTTAGTGACATCCGTTCCGGGAGGTGAGAATGTAAATCAAGAAAACATAGAAGAGTGGCTGGAATGTGACAAAAATGAGCCAGGGTTTGAACGACTATCTGACGTAGAAATAACAAACAAAGCAATGGGAGTGAACGAAGAAAACGAAGAAATTGAAAGTGAAGAAGGCGAGGTGCTTGCGCGGATGACACATGAAACTGCTTTGCAGCATGTAGACGGATTGCTTCAATATTTAGAGGAGCAAGACGACGCACATCTGGCAGAAAAACTTATGCTAAGGAACGTACAATCCAGAATAAAGAAAAGGTGCTTCTAGTGACCGATTCTTTTAAAAAGATGTAACTGACAGTTTTTGTCTACAGTACAGTTTTGTTTACAGTACAGTGATACAATACATATGTACAGGGTGGTTCAAATTCGATGTCCGAATAGGCTAATTCGAAAACTATAAGAGTTAGAAGAAAAGTAGCTGACATGTCATGATCTCGTTTTTCGAGAAACTGCTAATGCCGAAAACCTCATAGCGCTATCGTCTTTTGTTTTTCCGCTAGAGGCCAAAATTCAAAATATCGTGAAACCCGCAAATGTAATTATCTTGGTTATTATTATAGGTGGAGTATTATAACTAAGACATTATATGGACACTTTTTTACAGAGAATTTGATGACGTAGTCAAAAAAATTTTGTCGGTTTTAGATTTTGAGATATTATCACAATTTTCGTTTTTTTAAATGGAAACAACCACTGATTATTCGCTTAATAAATTCGTTATTTTTTTCTGATTACAAAAATATAGGGTTTGACAGGTCTATTTCTTATTGTTTTAGAATAAAACTAAAAATAAACTTTTCTTTTAGTGTCGTCGAAGAAATTAAATTTACAGTTTCCTGTAAATTACGGTTCTATAACTAAAAATTAAAAAAACATATTTCTGATATTTGAAACAAATATATTTGTTGAACTGTTTAATTTATATATGTTTTACACAAAAGTTGGAATAGATTGCATTATTTCACATTTTTTATTACGATTTAATATTATTTTTAAATGACTTAATAAATTATCGATAGATGGCGCTCATTTTTTTTTTTTTAATTCAAATAAACATAGCAACATTTGTTTGTATTCAAAAATTTTCTGAAATGTCACTTTAAAAATCCTGTTTTTAAGGTCAATTACGAAAATTTTGAAAAGTTTGACATGTTAGAATGTTACATATTAAAAAATTATTTGTTTTTAAATACCAGAAGTTATCTTCGTATTTAATTGTTAACTTTTTAGATTTTACCTACCGCCCCGTAACTTACAGGAAACTGTAAATTTAATTTCCTCGACGACACTAGATGGAAATTTTATAAAAAAAGTTTATTTTTAGCTTTATTCTAAAACAATAAGAAATAGACCTGTCGAACCCTATATTTTTGTAATCAGAAAAAAATAACGAATTTAATAAGCGAATAATCAGTGGTTGTTTCCATTTAAAAAAACGAAAATTCTCATGATATCTCAAAATCTAAAACCGAAAAATTTTTTTTGACTATGTCATGAAATTCTCTGTAAAAAAGTGTCCATATAATGTCGTAGTTATAATACTTCACCTATAATTATAACCAAGATAATTGCACTTATTGGTTTTACGATATTTTCAATTTTGGCCTCTAGGGGAAAAACAAAAGACGATAGCGCTATGAAGTTTTCGGCATTAGCAGTTTCTCGAAAAACGAGATCATGACATGTAAGCTACTTTTTTTCTAACTCTTATAGTTTCCGAGTTAGCCTATTCGGACATCGAATTTGAACCACCCTGTACATATTATTTTTTGTTTATTACTAGTCTTTACTTTAGTCTTTAGTGATTTACATGTAGAAGAGAGGTTTAAGTAAAATAGTCTTTATGGTGGTTTATGTTTTGTGTTTCCACCTTATTTTTAGTCTTTTTCGGGTTATCCGCGATTTTTATTATCCGCGGCGCCCTATTCCGCGGATAATCGGGGCTCTACTGTATATGTTTGAAATACACGGGTAATTTTCCTCGTCCGAAATGATATCTGGCATTATGTGCAATGATAAAATTGTCTTGAAATCAACTTAATATTATAGTATGAATATTTCTAAAGGAAAAGATTGCTTTGAAAAGTGATTATATTTTGCATCACATGATTTTTGATAAATTTCAAGATATTGTTCAAATACAGAAAAGAAATCACCATCCACCTACATATATTTTTTATTCATTCATAGTCATTATCTTGAAACGGTAACGAAAGGAAGTCGTGCGTAACGATCGCACAAGGTTTACGTAGGGAAAATCGTTAAGAGATTAAAGAGATATTCTAATTTTGCGAGTGTAATAAGTAAAGCAGCATATGTTCGAGTGAGTACCCCACCTACACTAAAGTTACACTTGGTACTTTATACCAAACCTTTATTCGCTTCTGGCAGTATTGAATTTAATTTCTCTTTTCGTAAATAACATTTTGAAACGGACGCACCTGTATGTGCAGACAAGAAGTACGTTTAACCCTCAAGCAATTTAATTGCAAACAATTGAAATTACGTTGTTAAATTGTTTTTAAATCTTAAACAGGTTGTTAAACGTTGAATTGGAGAAAACGATGGTTGTGTTAAAAAAAGGAAAGATGAAGATGAGAGAAGGATAGAAGGGCGAAAAAAGGTCGTCTTCAGCGTTAGTTACAAACGAGGAACGTGTCGTCTACGCTCGGCGACCACAAATTATCATGATAAATAAGTTATGGCTGTTGGTTTTTATGATTAAAAATGAACCGGAGTTGTTGCCCGGTTCGGTTCATTAATAATAATACGTGAGAAATATTTTGAACTGTGTTAAGTCGGGGCTCTGAGATCCTCTACTCTTCTCGGGTCGTCGCCTCTTTTCCTCTCGGTCCCCAGAAGAAGATGGGAATGCGTAAAATTAATATCTTGACCCAACGAGAATATGCAAAATTAAAAAAAAATCAAAAAAAAACGAAACTTTTTTTATTATTCTCCAATTTTCATGATACAATAACAAGACACTAAAAAAATCTTAGAACTCAAAGAGGAGAACAAAAGGTGAGTAGTCTTTGGGGTTACAATAGCTGAGAAGAAGAGATGGTAATAAAACTGGGGGACCGTGCGTTCGTTCAGTCGTAAAGTAAACTTTGCCGGACCGTGGTCCACCCGCGCGCGACCAACCAACAAAAGACATTAAAAATATATTTGTCGAATTAATATGTTGTCTTTTTTAAACGGCACATAACTCCGTGTCCAAATTTATTGCGGGTCAAATTTGAATATTTATTAGGGGACGAGATATTTCGAGTCTTCTTCTCAACGAAAACCAACCCAACGATTTCCCCCTCTTTCCTTTTAGACCCCTTATCCATCCAAGGATGCATCTTCTACCACTTCATCCAGATGTACAAAAACATGTATTGACAATTTATGAAGATCTATCTTAAGATAATTTACTAGTCAGATACGATTTTATTCATAATACGATTGATGTTGTTTGATAATACGCGCCCCAAAAAATCTTCTCTTCCGAAGCTCTTAAGTATATTGAGTAGTAGTTTTAAACTAGCTAGACCCATTTTCTGAACACACAAATACTGCCTCGTGTGGTTCTTACTACTTTTCATCCAAATTGTGATTATTTTGAATACGATTAGTACATTTCATTAATTCTTCATTGCTTATTTCGAGATTTGACATGGACAATATTGATGTCCCTCTACAAGGAATTAAGTTCTAGTATAACAGATTTTCCAAATTAAGTGCTCCAATAAAAAGAATTTGTCAAATATTGAGCTATTTCTTCAGTTCGTTTGGAATACAATTAAGAATGACATAGAATAACAATTTTGGTAAGATGGTCTTGATATCTTGCACTTGGAGTTCATTTCACCACTTAAAATTCGTTTTTCCAAAAAATCTTTTTTTTCTTTTCTTTGACAAGATTCGCAAAAGAACAAACAGTTATATTTTTGTATTTGTAATTAGTCTCATTCAGTATTCTAGTTCTGCCCTCATGATCAATTGCAAGACGAGCTTTATGTATGACTATAAACAATTCCTCTTAACATACATTTTCCTGAAACGAGCTTCCAGGAACTGAAGCAAAAAGCTTATTCTCACCACCTATAAAAAAAGTTTCAAATCTGTTTAGTATTCGATACTGCATTTTTTTACTCACTCTTCTAGTTGCCTCCACTTCACGAATATATTTAATGCTTTTTTTTACACTTTACTTTAAGAGATAAAAATATCGAATATGTTATAAAGAAATTTAAGAGAAAAGGGAATCCTTTTAGTAAAAATGGTTAAAAATGTGTTCTTTTGATTCATTTTGTTGGATTGGGGCGCCTCGGAAAATGTCAGGTGTCAATCAGTGTAGGGCGGGGTACCGACCACCCAGCTAACAAACCGTGACGAGTCACCAAAAATTCACCGTCCTCGGACAATATATCATTTACAGTCTGTCGTTTGCAAGAGAAGAACCCGACCTCCGTTTTGTTCTCTCTGAACGTCGTTGTTCTCATCCTTTACCAACTACAATAGACTCGAAAATACCTATAGATT